GTCCTAGATGTTGATGACTACATAGTCTGATGGCATATGCTTCAAAGGACAGGGGAAACAGGTCTGGAAGCAGCAATGAAGAATGTGGAGGAAACTTACCACATCTCTAAGACTACGGTCCAGATTGTGTGGGGGAAAATAACAGGGCCATAGCTTGAGAGATGGTAAAGGAAGCCATGTCCAGGTTTCAACTAGAGAAAGGAGATGAAGGTGCAGTCAGCAAAGAGGTTAGGATAAACGGGGTTGGCAGGTGACAGTGCATGAATTCTAGATAGCACAAAGGTTGGGAGAGTCCAGAAGGGTGGAAGATTGGACCAGGTGAGGTGATGCTTGCTGCCACATGAGTGTGGCTCAAGGGCAGGGCAGGATTACTCTTGTGATCTCCCGGGGTAAGAAGGGTGAATCAGTTCTCTTAATACGCTGGCTTCTTAGGACTGGTCTCTTAGTCCATGGAGGCGAAGTGAGTAGTACTGAGGCTCATGACAATCATCTTCTTGAGAGCATGGAGGGCACTGGAGGCTTCCTTTATAAACTCCTATGACTGGTGTCACAGGTGGGAAAGGGACAGGTCTTACTGGAGCACATGCATTGATGTAGACTTCTCTTGAATACTGTCATAGGGGAAGTCACTGTGTATGGAAGATGGCGGGGAACAAGGCAAGCCTGGACACTATTTGAGATCTTAGGGAGCCTGAACAGAGGCTGTGATAATGAGGATCCATAGATGAACTATGAAGATAGTGTTAGAGATGCCTTTTGGACCCGGAATTCCTGTTCCAGAATGGGCTACTCTCCCATTACGAAGTTCTCTTCTTGGCCACGGGGTTTATTCAGAAGGGTGGCCAAGGCTAGAGCTACACCTTGTAATTATAACCTTGAAATTAAGTCTATAATTGAAGGAATTTCATGCCTCTGATAAGCACCTCTAACTAGTCCCAGGGAAATCTGCATTCTCATGTTTACAGAAATATTCTGTTCTCACTCTCCCAAACATATCTACTTCCCACTTATCCAAACCAGGTAATCTCAAGACAACACAGGTTAGCCACAAACTATTCAAATGTTTTCTATGAGAAAAATGATTGCATTGATGGGTGATTCCTCTTTACTTGACCATTCTTGGCAGAATATTGACAAGAGGCGATGCACAGAGAGAAAGAAAAAGAAAGAAAACTGACCAATATGGGTGTTGGTTGTTTTGTATATAATTTTCATTAAATTTTCCTAACAACCCATGAAGTGGTTATTTCATACCCATTACAGAGATGAGGAAATAGGTTATCAGAGAAGTTTGAAATTTTCCCTAAGATGTAAGAAAGCAGCAGAGCTGAGATTAAAATCCAGACTTATCTGACCTTCATGAAAGCATCTGCTCTTTTTAACCACATAAGAACCAAGAATACCAGCTAAGCCATTTGGGTGTTCCTTTCTCAAGGAACCAAGCAATCAACTAATAGTGAACGATTATTTACCCCGAACCAAGGGTGCTGGGATCTACTGGGAACACAGAGATAAGTAAAACACAGTCCCTAGTCACCCAGCACAAACAACCTGTTTGTCAAGACAACCTGTTTGCATAGAAGTGCAAAGAGTTAAATAACCTCAGAGTACAAGAATGTAATCATGGTAACAGCTTTAAGTATCAAAGTATCTAGTTCTATGATTTTGCTGTGATCTTAAAACTTTGAGGTGAAAAGGAGCACGTATGGTTGAATTTGCTCAAGTTAAAGAAAATGTGAAGTAGAATTAATGTAATAATGCCAACTTTTTTCTCATTTCAATTATTTTTAAAAACTTTAGAATCTTGATAACATTTTGCTACATTTCTTTTTTGTTTCCAAGACATTTTGTTTTGTTTTTATAAAATTGAGTTCTTGGTGTATAGTTTTGCATCCTTTTTTTCAAAATGAAACATGACACTATAAGCGACTTCCCACATTAGTGAAAGTTCTTCATACGTGTAAGGATTAATGACAGCATAGTAATCACAATAGAAAAGATCTGAAGAGAGAGAAAGTAGTGAGTCCCTCAGGCACAGGGGACAACATGATCCAGAATGAGGATACCACTTTGGGCCAAGTCGGTTTGCAAGAATTGGGTTCCAAATGGTCCTGGAGATGGAGGGGTTAACTAGAGGAGTTGACACTTACATGCCATAACTTCTGCCCTGTCTCCACTGGGCAATTCAGGGCTGCCACCTGATCTGTGTGCCTTTCCAAAGGGTAGCTCTAGGGGTCAAGTGAGTAGATGCCAAAGGAAGGTCATTCAAGCATCAGAAAATCCATTTCCAGAAGCAGATTTGTTTACTAACTGGGAAGGCATCCACTAAAACAGAGGGAACAAAAGAGTTTTTCTTTACAAACCGGTCCCTGACCCTTGCCTTTAGCAAAGGTTCCCACTTTCTTTGGCAGGCTTTTTCCTGCTCTATGGCCAAGTACAGCAGAGCTGGCAGAGTGCGTATCCTCACTGGCTGTGTAAGGCTGGCAGCTAAGGTCAAATACGCCATTATAGAATGGAAGTTTGAGGACATGCAAATAAAGCAGCACTTTTATCTAAAAATTGAACCATTTTTCCAGCATTACATTTGAAAAAGCAGTAGCTAGGTTAAAATTTGACATTTTGGTACAGAAGCAGCCATTTGAGTACTGTCAGCTGCTTGGTAGCTCTTGTCCCCTCTACAATGAAAGCCTCCCATATTAAATGGAAACTCGTTCTCAGCTGAGATCAGTGAAGGAGTGAGATTCTTCTAGGAATCTTCTTTTCCTGTAATACATTATTCTTTTCTTCAAACCTTTTGATCCTTTATTAAGTCTGCTATTTCCTGGATATTGTTGAGCATAATTTTGGAGTTTTCCTCCCTGTGAAATTTTGCACTGTCAAAGTTGATGCTCTGATTGTCATCATGCTCACAAGATGCAAGGCACTGCCAAAGAGAATTTTTTTTTTAATTTGGAAGACCAAAGCCTATGTGAAATTAAATTACTAAAATTTCAGTGCCATTCCTAAAGGTTATTTTGTCTAGGGTTATAAATTTTAGTATACCAAACAATTCTATAAAGGTTAGAAGTACAATCGAATCTGTATTATTTTTGTCTCATGTTTTCACTGGAATTTTTATAATTTTTATAATTTGCTACTAGAGGATATTCCTAAAGTTAACTGGCTAAAATGCTGTTAATATAGATATTAATTGTCTACATTTTGCTCTAATTTTTAGCAAATTAAAACCTCTCAGTTTTTGCTTTTTTAACATAAACTTAACAGAAATCACAATTGTCATTAATTTTTGCAGTAATTTACAATTGCAACAATAAATGTATATTTCTACTTCAACTGAATGATAGAATTTGAATATATAAAGCATATAAGGAAACTGTTAATGCCAATTGCATCTAGAATGCTCCCCTATACTGGAAAGAAAATATTTACATGCTTATAATAAATCTGAATGGTTTGCCTTTTTGTAACACTGATTAGAAATGATGATGTACATGTTACATGATCGGTGATTATGCCTAAGTTTTGGGATGCTAGAAATGATGCTGAAGTGTTTGAATATTTGTCAATTTCTCTAAACTTGAAGAATAAACTGATACAAATTCAAGCATAGGCCATGGAAAGAATTTAGTCAAAAAGTATTGGTTTGAACTTTACCTTAGCTATTGTAGTTTTATACATGTTGATTTAACACCTACTATGGGCCCAAAATTTAGTCAAATACTAGAGACACAGAAATGAGTAAGAGGATGGGTCTTGCTCTCTAGGTGCTCATAGTCTGGGGAGATTGGACAATTTCCACAGCTGCTCTAAACTTCTGCATCCTGATCTTACTCTGCAAGTTTCATACGATGTTAACAAAGGTCAAATGAGATAATGGTTGCAACTGGTACCAGTTGCATAATGTATTCATTTATATTCTAATTGTCCCAGACATTGTATAGGGTAGATAGTATAATACATTCATGGGAACATGTTTGGAGTCCAGTGCCTGAGTTTGAATCCTGGATAGGTGTGTGGCTTTGATCATGCAACTTAATCCCTCTGCTCTTCAATTTATTGTAAAATTGTAATAATTATATTACTTCCTTCATTGACAATTAAATAATAGATGTATAGAATTCAGCATAGAAACTAGCACATAATAATTACCCCACAAGGTTAATGGTTATTAAAATTCAGTGTAGTGAATCTCCAATTTCAAAATAAGGGAATGCACAGAGATTCTATAATTGACACAAGGCCATACAATAAATTGCCGAGATGGGACTGAGTCAGGTTGATCTGTTGCCAAAGCCCTCATTTTCCCCTAACATTTTGGGTCTCTGAAAATAATTTTATAGATAAAAACTGTTGGATAGGCTGGGCACAGTGACTCACGCCAGTAATCCTAGCACTCTTGGAGGCTGAGGCAGGAGGATTGCTTGAGGTCAGGAGTTTGAGACGAGCCTGAGCAAGAGTGAGACCCTGTCTCTACTAAAAATAGAAAAATTAGCCAGGCATGGTGGCGCATGCCTTTATTCCCAGCTACTCAGGAGGCTGAGGCAGCAGGAGAATTGCTTGAGCACAGGAGTTTGAGGTTGCTGTGATCTAGGCTGACACTATGGCACTCTAGACCAGGACACAGTCTAAAAAAAAAAAACCTGTTGGATAAATTTGAGGAATATTTATTGGGTATGTCCTCAAGTCCAATTTCTTTGCTCTCCATCCACATCCCAGACCACGAAAGTTAATCCCCCAGAGTAGGGATGTGGTCTGGTGACTTGGTAAGGCCAAATTAGTCCCTGGTCTCCAGCTGCCCCGCCATTGGGCCATTGGGAGGGAACAATTTCCCCAACTGAGCCAGGGAGCTCTGCTCAGGTGAGTGAACCAGGCTCACGTAAGACTGTGAAGCTGGATCACTCACTGGACTGTGAGCATTCTGGTCTTCTCCCGCTTACTGAGCCAAGCCCCAAAGCTGAGCTCATTGTTTCTGATGTGTTTGTGTGTTTAAATCTGTTTGCAGAATTACTCTCTTATGATGGCAGAGAAGTCACAAGGATCTGACAACCCTCAAGAAAGCCAGGAAAAGAATAAGAGAAAGACCCTAAGGTGCACGAAGAAGGCATGGGCTCCTCTGGATGAGCAGCTGCCCCCTGGCTCTGAGGAAAGCCAGGGTCTCCCCTTCCCCACGCTGGGTGAGAAGGGCCCTCGGGGATATTTGAAAATGTCCTACAGTGGGTGGTGAGGGATGCAGGGGCATTTGGCTGGGGGAAGATGATTTTGGAACAAGGACTTAGCTATGAATATACCAGCATTCCTGGCATGATGCCGGAAGCATCTATGAAATGGGCCCTTCTGACTTCCCCTGCAGACACTCAGAACACAGACCTTCTTGACAGAAGTAGACCAACATCCCTTCCTCATACATCCCTAAGACTTGGAAGCTGTGTGGGGTCCATGTTGGAGGCACGAGGCTTTTCAGGACATTTTATTAAAAGGCTCTTATTTGTTGGGTCCTGCTCAAGGCATGATAATAATTTTAACCATTTAAAGAGTATTAAGTAAGAAAATCCTTTCCTCCACCCCATGATGTAACTTTTGGTTGGTTTTTCTTCTTTGTCCATCACCCAATTCATTCCATCCCTTCAGAGCAGCTCACCTGAACAACAAGAAGCACCTCCCACATCCACCTGGCTTTTTTTGGTTCCCCTAACACCCTGTGAGGGTGATAATACAGGTACTTCGCTGTTTGGTAGGATAAAGTCAAAGAAAATCAGCCCAGAGTACATGGTAGCCAATCAGAATGGAAACAAATATTTAACAGGAAATGCTGCCTTTATGTCCTCTCCTTTTTGCCTGTTGCCTATTTGCTGAACCAGAGACAAAGATCCACCTTAAAAGACTGGTGCCTTTTTAACACAGGGTGCCTTTGGCAATCTGGGACTCTAGTGCAATTTGTCCCTGGAATGAATACAAATTTGGTTTCTAACCTGGCAGAGAACTCCTTGCAAATAAACATCACTGGCTGGCTGCCTTAGGTAAATGTCGTGATTCAATAAGGAGAGGCTCTGTGGTGATTTATATCCAACAAGAGAAATACAAAAGTTTCATATGCTTTTTCACCCTTTGTATTCACACCAGGTAATCTAAAAATTATTCTAACATCTCTTGTTCTTCAGTGTTTTATTTTTCTTCTCTTTCACATTTCTTTCTCTTTTTTTAAAAGTTACAGTCTTTTTGCAAGTTTACACTTCCTTCTGAGGAAAGGCTGATCATGGAAAACAGGAGGTTTTGCCTTCAGGAAAAAAAATGAATATGTTTATGGGAACATGTGACTAAATATGTAGCAAATGGAGCTATTGAGTGGTGGTTGAATAATAGGGTAGAGTCATTTTAGCTGGTTGTGCTTTGACTTACTGATCTGCTTCTTTCTTATTTGTAGAAGATTCCAAACAAGAAAATATTCAGCAGTGGCTGGACTCTGGATACTTGTAAGTGTTTCTTTGTGCCTTGTACATTCTCTTTCAAAGATCCATAAAAACAACGTGGGTAACCCTGCCTGGGTGAGGTGGGACGTGTAGGGATTTTTATTTTAATTGGGCACTTGAAGAATTATCCCATTATTGCAAAAGCTAAGCATCAGTTAAAAGGACAAAATAGAATACTACTTTAGTCCCTGACTGTTCATTGGATTCCAAAAATCCCTTCTTAATAAAACTTAACTCTGCATTTGCTCTTATTGGTTTAATTATAAAGCAATTTCATAGAATTTATTTATGTACATTGTTTGACTCACAATGCTTTTGTTTCTTTGTAGTGTCTCTGTAAATGAAAACTTTCAGCAAGTCATTGACCACTCTGGTAAGACAAGAGAACCCAGAAGCGGTTATGCTTTGTGGAGCTGTGTAGGAGATATATTAAAGTGTCTATGTGAATAAATCTTCCTAAAATGAGAATTATCAGAGGCTCCTAGAAATGTACAGATCTCAAAAACCATGCATCTTAATCCCTTTAATTGATGTATAAGACTGAGACTCAGAAATGATATGTGTTTTTGCCATATCACCAGACAGTTCAGACGGTAGCAGAAAACTCTCTGGGCTCTATGAAGACATTTGCGAGGATGTAATTATGGCAATGAAATTGTTTAATTTTTCCTCATACTGTCTTGTACTTGTGTTTCTAAATCTAGTTTCTTTCTATTCTTTATCCTCAAAATTACACTCATCTCCTCCCTTTCTAATGATGCATTTGTTCTCAAGAACAAATGCCTGAATTCTAAAGCAAACAATGCAAGTATTTCCGAGGCAGAAAATGTGTCGCATTTGTTTTGCTGAGATTTGATAAGAACATTATAAAAAGAAAAAGAAATTTAATTACAAGTCTCACAGTTCCAATCTTCATTAAACAAAATTCTGTATTTTATAGAATCTACGATTCCTCAATTATAAAATGCACTCATATTTTAAGTACCATTCAGATAGAAAAAACTAAACCAAACCTGGCAAATATAAATACAAAGCAATACTGACTGCAAGACACATCCTTATTTCATAAATGTTAAGATGTGAAAAAAGCATGTTTTAAAATTGATGAAATGCCATATGTGTCTTAAAAAATGACGTAAGTTAGGACTTTAATGATTAGAGGGAAAAATTATTAGTGTAATAGTCACTTTGCTGGTTTTAATTACTTCACTTTCTTCACTGCCATCTTAAATTAAGATTGACCACTGGCTACAAACAAGTTTAAATTGGAATTTTTCTTTCCTTTTTTTAAAAACCTAGGTGTATCATTGAAATTTCCTTCTTCACCAAACTTCTTTACTATTTTTAAATTTCCACAACATCGAAATCTCTAAAGGTTTTTGCCAATAAATCAGATTTAAGTATCTCTCTGTTCTTAATAGTTTGGACTCAAAAAAAAAAAAAAAAGAAAGAAAGAAAGAAAGCAAGAGTTTAAGAAACATAGCCAGAACTTTCTATCCCCCTGATGTGTCCTCTTGCCCTGTCGTGGCTGGAGCCTGGCACCGGTTCTGGGGCTGTAAGTGACTGTATTAAAAGCTTCACTTCCCAGAAATTAAAGACAAATCATGGCCCTTCCTTCTCTGAACAAGTCTGTGAACCACAAAGGCACAGACATGAGGTAAAGACCCGGATGGAAAAAGGCCAGCACCGTGGCTCTGAGATCAGAAACGCACGGTTTCCACTTGCCAGGTCCTTTATCTTCGGCAAGCTTCCTAATAATAATGGAATAGCTTCTTACAAGTTTAATTGAGCCTTCACTTTTCCAAGGCCCTTTCTCATCGATCATATTTTAAACCCTGTAACCTGTGTGGTAGCATGATTGCTTCTCATTTTTATTTTGCAGGTGAAAAGTCTGGGGCAGCAGGGGTCAAATGCTGTGAATTTTGGTCACGGCTGGTTAGAGGCAGGTGGAGGACCTGGAGGCCTGGCCTTCTAGGGGCCCCCCTGTGAGCCTGCTTCAGCCGCCATGAGAGAGACAAACCCTGAGCATGGGAAGCCAAGAGCCGCTGGGAAGGGTGGGCACTAGAACAGTGCGAGAAACCGGTGACCTGAAAGTCTTGGCCAGGGTGGCAGGGAGAAAAACTGTGAGGAAGTGAAAAGGAACTGGAGAGGAGGAAGAAAAGTAGTTACTACTGGAGGGAAAATCCTGTCAAAATTCAAAATCCTGCAAGGATGTAGAGTGGTGCATTAGTTTCCTAGGGCAGCTGTAACAGATTACCACAAACTTGGCAATTTAAAACAACAGAAACTTACTCTCTCACAGTTACGGAGTCTGGAAGCCCAGAATCAAGGAGTCAGCAAGGCTGATCTCCCTGTGAAGGTTCTGGGGAAGAATCCTTCCTTGTCTCTTCCTAGCGTCTGGTGGGTCCCGGCAATCCCAGGTGTTCCTTGACTTGCAGCTGCAGCACTCATTCTGTGGCTCTGTGTCTACATGGCCTCTCCTTGTGTGTCTTCTCCTCTCCTTACGAGGACACCAGTCACTGGATCCAAGACCCACCCTGATCCAATATGATCTCATCTTAACTAATTATATCTGCAAAGAGCCTATTTCCAAATGAGGGCACATTGTGAGGTGCCAGGTAGAAATGAAATTTGGAAAACACTAGTCAATTAACTCCAAGTAGAATTCATTCTGAGGCTGGTTTCCTTAGTGATCACTTCAGAGTTTTTGTACGTTGAAGTAGCAAAAAATCCAAGTATCTGTCTGTCCTACAGGTGATCCAGTACCTCCCATAGGAAGCATTCTAGTGGGCCTCCAGGCCTTGGACTGGGCCCAGATAACATGGATGGGTGAAATAAGGATTTGGTGGTCCTGGTCCTGGTTCCCTGCTGAGTCCTATGATGGCCAAGGTGGGGCTTGGCCTTTTATGGTGACTCTTTGGCTTTCCTGCTCGTCTACAGCTACCTGAAGTCTCATTTTTATTCATGTGGAATCTACTTGGCTCATTTGCATCTTGTTCGCCACCAGTATGCTAGGAAAAGCCCATGACCCGTGGCACTTCAGCCTCATCAGTATTACTGGGAGGGGAAAGAAATTAGTGCATATCTAGGGTGTACATGCTAGGTATACATATATTATCTTGTTTCTGAACCATCTTAGAGGTGAATATTACCATTATTAAATTTTATAAGGAGGAAAGTGAGGCTCTCACAGAGGTGAAGTAACTTGACCACAGTCTCCCAGTTAGTACTAACAGGTAAGGGAGTTGAGATTTGAACTTAGAGCTGTCTGGCTGTAGAGCCATGTTGCCTCTCCAGAAGACTCATATAATTTACTATGTATGTTGTGCATGGAAACCCCGGGGAGGAAAGCCCTGTGCTGTGGTTCGAATGTCCCCTCCAAAACTCATGTTGAAATTTAATTGCCAATGCCACAGTATTAAAAAGTGGGACCTTTAAGAAGTAATTAGGTCATGAAGGTGCTGCACTCCGAATGGAATAATGCCGTTATCATGGGGCTGTTAGTTATCATGAGAGTGGGTTAGTTATCATGAGAGTGGGTTAGTTATCATGGCAGTGGGCTCCTGACAGAAGGACAAGTTTGGCTCCCATTTTCTCCCTGTCCTGTGTTCTTTTGTGCCCTTCCATGTTCCACCATGGCATGAAGGCCCTTACCAGATGCAACCACTTGAACTTCTGAGCCTCCAGAATCATGAGCCAAATAAACTTCTCTTGTTTATAAATTACCCACTCTGTGGTATTGTGCTATAGTAGCAGAAAATGGTCTAAGACACCCTGTATCAGCATCCCTGTTGGAAAAGTCAAAGCAAGAACAGTGTAGGTGAGTCCCTGACATTTCCCTCTCTAGGTCTTCTGACTCTTGTACACCAGCTCTCTGGGACCACAATAGTCCTCTACAGTTTAAATTATTTCATGTGCGACAACACTAATTTTTTTTATGTCAATCAAGTGCCTATAGAAATGCAAAATGGCCACACTTGGATCTTAAAATAAAAAAGATACATTAAGCTGGGCAAAGGGTGCAAATTTGCAGTTATAAAATGAATAAGTTCTGGAGACCTAAAGTACAACATGGTGACTATAGTTAATAATAATGTATTGTATACTTGAAATTGGCTAACAGTGTAGATCTTAAGTATTCTTACCTCAAAAAATAAAAAATGGCAACTATGGAGGCAACTGATGTGCTAATTAGCTTGATTGTGATAATCATTTCACAGCGTATATGTATTTCAAAACATGTTGTACTCCTTGAATGTATATAACTTTTTATTTGTCAATTATACCTAAGGAAAGCTGAAAAGTCAAATAATTCATCTGGAAAATCAAAATGAATCATTCTCCCTCCATTTCAGAAATTTTAAATTATAAGAACATAAATTCTTAAAAAATTGACATGACTGAGAAATTAATGCTTAATAATTGGAAAGTTCTCAGGTGGTTGTGTCTTTCTGAGGCTTCACTCGATTTCTGATCTTTATATACTTCTGATCTCCATACATTTCATACTCAAAAGTCATACTAGAATTATATAATTAGTAATTGTCATTTATCAAACGCCTATAACATATGTAAAAACTGTTGTCAAGTACTCTTCAAACAAAACAGCAGGATGATTAACCTTATTATATATTGAGGAAACAGATACTCAGAAGGTTACAAAATTTGGCTAAAACCACACAGCCAATAAGAGATGGAGACATGATTTGAATTCAAGTCTGTCTGATTTCAAAGGTCATGCTCTTTCCACCAAAAACTGATATATCTCCAGTGACTACACACTGGTGTAAATCAGCTGCTATTAATTCTACCTGTAAATTTTCCTTACTTCTGTGAGCCAATTTTGGGTGGCAGAAAAGGATGCTCCCTAAATTTAAGATTTTGATGTTAAGACGTACTCCAAAACTTATTCCATTTAAACCCAGAGGTAGATAGAGTAGATTTTAGTTCAAAGAAAAATTATTAAATAAAAGTATTAATAGTTCTAAAAGGAAGAAAGAGATATAAAGCTATCCTGAAATTAACCTATAAATAACTCCTGTAACTGGAATTTGGCTCAGGTCTCACCAGTCTGTGGGTACCAATTAGGTTACAATAAAATTGGTACCCCAGTTTTGATGGATTATTGCCCACAGCTTGGTGACAGAGCAAAATATCTCCCATAAGTATTTCTGAGAGTCATTAGATCTCTCGTCTGATTTCATAAATGAGTCCCCTTCCCCTGTCACCTCTACTACCCAAATAGACTCCTCTTGGTATCTCCACACAGACAAGTTGTCTCAATACTTCCCGAGCATGTTCTTCTTCTGCTCCTCTAGGCACCACTCTCATGGCTTTTGAGCTCTTATGGTGCTCTGTTTCTTGCAGAATTTG